AATTCCAAGTTCTAGGGTTATACATACATATGTATATATGTATTGACATAAATTATTTAAACCTATGGCGCCCCAGGGGAATTTTTGACATAATTTGTTTTTACTTTTTTAAATAATTAAGCATTTTTTGCTTACAAAATTAAAAAATTTCACAGTGGAAGATATGACAGACATGGAGATCAACCAATTAATTTGTTAAACGTTTACAAATTAATTGCCGTCTCATTTTTTTACCAACAAAACCTTAAAAGCAAATTGTTTGAAGATTTCATGGCATTTGAGTTTTTTATGATGATTATGATTAGTAGGTGTCAGTACCAAAGAAAAACGAAATAAAACAACAACATCTTCCAATAATTTATGAACTTCTCACGATTTGTGGGTTGATAATTTTTTCTGCTTTGCTGCCGCAATCATTGTTTTAATTACATGTTTAATATTTCTTTTTGCACTGAAATCATTTTGAATGAAATAAAATCGAATGATTAATCATTTTTCTGCAAAGTAATACAAGAGAGTATCTACATGCAGGAAGATTTCAAATTTTTAAAATTAGCATATTTATGATGTCCAAACAAATAATATTTCATTTATATTCATAACGAAGATATCAACTGTTTCAAAATGTTAATAAGAGGTAACATTTTTTTGTTGTCCAATAGTTTAAAAAAATGTTCACACGCTTCTGACATACATACATACAGTGGTGGTCACAGAATTAAAACATTTACTGTGGTAAACATTTTTTGATCAGCCCTCGATTCGTTTGAAGTATTTTTGAAAATTTTTTAATTCAGAACACTTCGATATACTCCACTTAAGAGATTTAGTGTGAAAATGGAAAATTATTGCATGCAATTTTTCCATAAATAACGGTTTTTATGAAAATCCATTGACTTTGAAGTGGCCATATAATTAAAACATTGTGTGATTTTTTACTTTACTGCAGTTTTTGAAAATATTTTTAAAAAAGCTCTTTAATTTAGTTGAATTATGTAAACTAAGCACCGATAAAAATCATATACTGATAAATTTTTTTGAAAAAATCTGTAAAATCTATCAAAAATGCCAAAAATTTGTACAGTACACCTTACATTCAGAAAATAACCCTTATTATAGAAAATAAAGATCCGAATGCACCAGAAATTGCTAGAATTAGTAGAAAATAATAAATAATTCTCAAAATAAATAAACATTTGAAATAAAAACTGAAAAAATGGGAATTCATCTAAAAGAACGACTCAATTTCGATAGCCTTTATTTAAGAAGGCCGGAATATTTTTGCAGTATGTGAGGAAATATCGATTGATATTGGCATTTATTATATCAAATCGATTGTTCGAGTAGTACAGAATATATTTGATCAAAAAATATATCAGTCACAACAGAACGAACAGAGATCAACACCTATGTTGACGAGAAAACGTTTCTGGCACACAGCAGCATTTTTGATGGTCAACTCTTAACCCTTAAAATCTATTGAACATGACAATATTTTTCCAAAATAATATTTTTTGAATAGAATTATGTCCATTTAATCTATTTTAGCCTAAAAGAAAGAAAACATTTACAATTTGACAAATATTTAAAGTCTTTGCTGAGCATCAAAAATGCTGCTGTGTGGCAGAAACTTTTACTCGTCAACATAGGTGTTGATCTCTGTTCGTTCTGTTGTGACTGATATATTTTTTGATCAAATATATTCTGTACTACCCGAACAATCGATTTGATATAATAAATGCCAATATCAATCGATATTTCCTCACATACTGCAAAAATATTCCGGCCTTCTTAAATAAAGGCTATCGAAATTGAGTCGTTTTTTTAGGTTAATTCCCATTTTTTCAGTTTTTATTTCAAATATTTATTTATTTTGAGAATTAGTTATTATTTTCTACTAATTCCAGCAATTTCTGGAGCATTCGGATCTTTATTTTCTATAATAAGGGTTATTTTCTGAATGTAAGGTGTACTGTACAAATTTTTGGCATTTTTGTTTGATTTTACAGATTTTTTCAAAAAATTTTATCAGTAAATGATTTTATCAGTGCTTAGTTAATATAATTCATCTAAATTAAAGAGCTTTTTTAAAAATATTTTCAAAAAATGCAGTAAAGTAAAAAATTACACAATGTTTTAATTATATGGCCACTTCAAAGTCAATGTATTTTCATAAAAACCGTTATTTATGGAAAAATTGCATGCAATAATTTTCCATTTTCACACTAAATCTCTTAAGTGGAGTATATCGAAGTGTTCTGAATTAAAAAATTTTCAAAAATACTTCAAACGAATCGAGGGCTGATCAAAAAATGTTTACCACAGTAAATGTTTTAATTCTGTGACCACCACTGTATGTTAAGTAGTACATACTATATTATCGTGGCAAATATAAATGTAAACAATATGTCTGGTTTTGGGGGTCAGCGTAATAAAAGGAAATAAAAAAATGTTGCCGAATAATTGGTTAGGTGTTAAACTGAAGTTCGATAATTCTATGGGAAATATTCGAGACTATTTCAAAAAGGAAAGGGTTTCCTGTAAGAATATTTTTTATACCATCAGCTTTATGGCTAATAAGGGAAAACGGCAAAAATGTGCCTAACCGGAATTTTTGTTTTAGACACCAGGTTTCATTAGACAAAATCCGTTAAGCAAATATCGCCCGCCCGTCTGTTCGATGCTCACGACAACTCATCGTTCTTTTCGAAAGATACCTTCTGGTACCTTCCCCATTTTGAAAAGTTATGTCCAATTTGAACAAAGCTTTGCATATCTTAATATTTTATCCAATTCTAGTGAAGTCAGAAGATCGGGCTCATCCTTCCTCACAAAGGGGGGATATTTTTAAAAATTTTAAATTTATGATTTGAATGGCATCGGTAGTACAAAATGAAAAAAATTGCTGTTGCAAACATACATTTACTGGGGACCGGGCCACACCCCTGCGTACGTCCCTGATGGGAGCTCTATCTAAATCTGAACCGATTTTCACAAAACGAGTTATACTTTAATTTGGACCTATCTCAATACGCAGTGCAAAATATTGTATCAATCGGACAATCTTTGGGAGTTTGGTGCACCATCTACCAAAAAATTTGTTGAGGAGAGCTATATCCAAATCTGAACAGATTTTCACAAAACTTCGTATACATCAATGTGGACCTATTTTAATACGTTCTGAAAAATTTTATCTCAATCGAAATAAATATTGGAATTTTGGTGCACCATTTACATAAAATCGGTAAACTCTATATGGGAGCTATATCTAAATCTGAACCGATTTCAACATGATCATCAAGCTGGGCCTTATTCAGTACGCTGTGCATTTTGTCTCGATCGGACAAAAATTGCGAGTTTGGTGCACAATTGACCTAAAATCGGACGAAACCATATGTGGGAGCTATATCTAAATCTGAACCAATTTCCACGAAACTTCGCAAACACAAATCAAGACCTATTTCAGTACCGTGTGTAAAATGTTGTTTCAATTGGAAAAATATTAGAAGTTTGGTGCACCATTAACTTAAAATCGGACAAAACTATATATGGAAGCTATATCTAAATCTGAACCGATTTTCTTCAATTTATTTAATAAATAAATTACTCCACCCCGATACTCCGCAAAACAAAATAACATACAAAAGTCAGGATAAGTGAATACTACAAGTGTCATAGACGGCAATACAAACTGACACTTTTTTACTTGTAGGTCCATTGTAATCAACCTCTTTGGAAGAATATCGTTAGCCTTCTTCAAAAATTACCTTTTACCTTATGGTCTTCTGAAAAATACCTTTTGATCTTCTTTTGAAGAAAAGAACTTTGGCCTGGTGTACTATTTGCCCTTCTATAACAACACCTTCTGGTCTTCCATGCAGAAAATGTACTTCCAGTTTTGTATGAAAAAAATCTCCGGTTTTCAATGATGACGACCTTCTTGTCTTCTATGAAGAAGTCCTTATGGTTTGCTATGAGGAAGAAGAGTCTTCTCTAAAATAAGAGAAACGTATTTGAGAAACAAGGCCTTTTGTTATTCTATGAGAAAGAAATTCTGGTATTCTATGAAGAACACCTTCTGGTCTTCTATAGAGCCAACGAACTTTTATCTTTCAATGAGAACAAAACCTTCTGGACTCCTATTAAAAATAGATCTATTGCTCTTCTATGAGGAACACCTCTTGTTCTTCTATGAAGTAGATCATTTAAAACAAGAAGACCTTATGTACTACTAAAAAAAATTATCTGAGTTTTTGGCCTTCTATAAAAACACAATATGAATGAGGAGGAACTTCTGGTCTTCTATGAACAAAAGTACAGCCTTATCTTCTTTGAAGATGACTGTTGTTGATTGAATAAATTCTGTGTTTTAAAACATTGCTATATCATGACCTTAGTTAAGCCAGAATTCAACCAGTTGCCTAGGATGAAACCATTCATTGTCCAAAATTGCAGGAGAGTGTTTGTTTATGACTCCGGAGAAAGCCTTTTGATGCAGAGTTTTCATGGATTTCCAAATCGACGATTGGATGCTTTCAATATAACATCTTGGGTGTATTTAAGATAACATCTGAAGTCCTGAGGGATGTGTCACGGAGGTGGATCGGCCTCCGTCAGCAGTAACAGTTTGGTCAACAGCACTTTATGTTACTAAAATATTTTCCTCATTAAAGTGATCGACGTTTGTCATTTGGACACTCATTAAAATTCGGAGTGTATTAATTTGTTGACGTTTGTATAAATGTACCCTAGAAAACCCAAACAGGGGTTGATTAGTTAATCAGTTTCTTCATATGGAAGATTTCATTTTTATTTTTCATCAAATGATATTTTACAAATTTATGAGATATCATTGTGGTATTTTCATTTCTTAACATATATTTTATTTGTATAGATTAACGGTTACAAAAATACTTTAAAAGTCTTAACAACAAAAAAAATCACTTACCAAATACTGTAAAAAATACATATATATTACATTCCTCACTTAAAAACTAATGCTTATCTAACTTGTACATCGTAGTTTTGAAGAATGTCTAGGAATTCCTTTAAATCGAGTGTTGTTAATTTCTTTAGGTATTCGACGGCATTCAATTCTAAAGCCTCTTTGTTGGCATCATGGCACAGACCTTCTACATCATCCCAATAAAATTGTTGACCCTCCACCACCAATGTTGTATTGCGCACCATTACCTTCAGATCGGCTTTTCGACGTAACAACTCTTTACGTATTATCATTAATTTATCTTTACGTTTGCGCTGTAATGGTGAAATTTCCGGTTCTATGAATATGCCGGTGTCTTTCAATTTGGGAATTTGACGAAGAATATTTTTTGCATCTAAATGATTTTGTAATTCAATACAAAGACATTTTTTCTTTGTATCCAATGACGGTTTGGTTGACGGTATTATCGTACAATTGACAATATTGATATCGTTTAGGCCAAGTTTTTGGGTCAGAAACTTTTCCACAGATTGCTGTGGCAGTTGTTCATCGTGCAACTTTAAGTTGCGAATAATTAATTTCCGTTGATGCAACAATTTGTCCACACTTTGTAGTTCGTTTTGTAATTGACGTTTACTAGCCTGAGATTGTTGTACCGCATGCCGTAATGTGGAACATTCCTTTCTCAAATTTTCCACTTCTTGTTTTAATTCCAAAATTGCCATGGACTCGGAGGAGGAACTATTTTGCATTTTTTCAATATCCGCTTGTCTTACAAAATCTTTTAGTTTTTCTTCTACAATTTTGTTAATAATCTCCGCTAAATTCTTAGGAATTTCATTTTGTTTTTCTCTGCTAGAGTTAATATTTTCGGAATTACCCTCTGAATTAACCTCTGTAGTTTGGGGATTTGTAAAATCATCATCATTATCGGAATGTTCAGAATTTTTATTATCGTCATCTGCATCAGGCTCGGCTTCATTTTCTCCATCTCCCATTTCCGATGAATCCAAAACAACAGAAGCATCTATATACTGTGAACCATTTTCATCATCATTGGAGTCACAAACAATACCCGAGCTATCATCTTTATCATATTTCGCACTCTCCATTTTGTAGCCAGCAATTATTTGACTTATATGCGGCAGAACACCAGTCTTAATGCGATACATTTTATAGCTGTCATAGATTTTATTGATCTCAGGATGTCCACGTTTCATGTGCTTAATAAAATTGGAAGATATACTTTTGTTGCCACGAACAACCTTGCCACAGGCATAACAGCGGGCAGCAATGGCATCTTTATGATTGGGCGAGGTGAAACCATCCAACTGAAATAGAAAAATTAGGCATTGATCAATATTTTGTGTTTATATGAGATCGATAAAATCGTAGAGTATATTCTCCCGATTGGCATTCCATTGTGGTCCCTGCTGCAGTTCTTATAACGGTATTACAAGAAGTCTGAATATTCTTTCACTGCTAATCACATTTTAGTCATTGAAGAAAAATTACTTCTGCCTCATAAGAATATGAAGATCTTGTAGACATCTATTAAAAAATCTTCCGGTCTTCTATGAAGAATTTCCTTTTGATATTCTATGAAAAAATGCCTAACAGTCTTCTATGAAGAAGAGGCGTAACAGTCTTTCATGAATATGACCTTCTCGCCTCCTAAGAAGAATAATCTGTCCTTCTCTGAATATAAGGATGACATCCTGTCCTTTTTCTATAAAAAAAAAATTATGAAGAGAACTTTTTGCTTTCATTGAAGAAGAAGACCTTCTGGCCTTCTATGAAGAAGAAGACCGTCTGGTCTTCTATTAAGAAAAACCCGTTGGTCTGATTGGCCTACTGCTTTATTAGAGATCAACAATGTCTCCTTGTGAGTACCCTAAGTGCTGCCGACCAGGGACTTGAGGTCATTATGAATATGACCTTCTCGCCTCCTAAGAATAATAACTTCTGTCCTTCTCTGAATATAAGGATGGCATTCTGTCCTTTTTCTATAAAAACAAATTTATGAAGAGGACTTTTTGCTTTCATCGAAGAAGAAGACTTCCTGGCCTTCTATGAAGAAGAAGACCGTCTGGCCTTCTATGAAGAAAACCCCGTTGGTCTGACCGGCCTACTGCTTTATTAGAGATCAACAAAGTCTCCTTGCGAGTGCCCTAAGTGCTGCCGACCAGGGACTTGAGGTCATTGATCCTACTTCTCAGCTTATCACAAATAGCATTGACTGTCCAACGTTAACCCAATATCTTGGGGTGGTCGGAATCTGCTCTCCATCGATCATTATTTTCAACGTGGGATTCATGTCAGTCGTCCATGTGGTGAACTGTGTGGCTGTGGATTTGGTGTTGATTATTTTCTTGGAGTAGTTCGTCGAAATCCGCTCTCCGTCAACCATTATGTTGAGCGGCAGCTTCGATTTATTCTTCCAAGTGTTGAACAGTGTGGCTGTGGATTTGGTATCGGATATTTTAATATTCCTTTTTGGATTTTAAAATACTAGAAAGATAGAAGTTGCTTAGCTCCGGAGAAATCGCCCATGATATGTACTTGCATGCCCTCTATACATCCGACAATACCCTGGTTGCTATCCATAATTGACCCATAAATATGAACCGATTTTCACGAAACTTAGCACACATCATTCTAGAATTAAATCTGTATGCTATACGAAAATTCGTGCAAATCGAAAGATATATAAGGACTTTGGTGCTCCAATTGCCTTAAATCGGACGAATATATGTACATATAGGAGCTATACCTAAATCTGAACCGATTTTCATGAAACTTGGCACACATTATTATTGACGCAATTCAGTACGTTATGCTAAAATACGTGCAAATCGAATGATTTTCAGGGACCATTTACCTAAAATCGTGCGAAACTATATATGGGAGCTATATCTAAATCTGAACCGATTTTCACGAAACTTAGCACACATCATTCTAGACTTAATTCAGTAGGCTATACCAAATGTCGTGTAAATCGAAAGATATATAGGGGCTTTGGTGCACAATTTACATTAAATCGGACGAAAATATATATGGGAGCTATATCTAAATCTGAACCGATTCATTCATGTCGACCGACCGACTTCAAATCTGACTGCAACAGGTCCTGTGTCGGCAATTGCCGAAAATAAACATCAGAGGCAATCTGCGTCCAAAGGTCAGAAGCCGTCATAATTGTTTGGTTGCACGGTCAACTCTGGTGGAAATGGCGTGAAATGCTGTCGTGTTATTGTGGTACGAAATCCACGCTGAAGTTGGACTATAGAACAAGAGGAATACTACCTCAAGTATCTTTGTATCTGGCGACAATAGTGATATCGGCCCGAAGGATTTATTTGATGACATTCTTGCGGGACCACATTACCCATTTTCCAGATATCGAAAACGATGGGGTTATTTTCGATATCCAAAGCGCTGCGGATGGGGCTTCGAGCATCGTCAATTGTAATATGTGGTGGCACCTTCTCGAAGGGAAGAGATTTAATATGATGTAGTACTTCTTTTTACTGTTAATTTGGGGGTGGTCGGCAAACTATCCGTTAAAATAATGTGCGCTTCTTTTCGAGTCAGTCACTGTTGAGTGGTTAAACGTAGATGAAGTACTATTATCCATCTGCCCAGTGTTCGAGGGCAATTTAACCATTGCCATTATTAGTCTTACCTGTTCCAGTATTGCAGGAGTTTCCTGCTAAGCTTCTCTAGACTATCGTAAATAGTTTTAAGTCCTGTCTGTCGTAGCCTGTTTTGTAGCAGTCCTGGCCAAATCATGTTACATTAGAATTTACCGGTCGTCATCTGTTTTTGGGCTTAAATTTGATATACTTGTAATAACTCCCTGCGCCCTAACTTTATTTCTTCCAATTTTTTTTACACATCTTCGTTAATTTATGTAAGGAAACTGATCCATTTCTGGTTCTCGGGGGTTTCAAAATTATGATGTGGGGTGCATTACGTGTATCATATGTGGTCCCAAAATATTTTGATCGGAATTTAGCAACCATGGTCTTAAACATCCCTTGGTATTCGTACCTTCCACGTTAATGTGATTGTTCTTATTAACATTCATTGCATTAATAATCGGTTCTATTGATGAAGAATATAGTTTACTATCTCAACATCCGGTAATGTGTTTAATGTTAGTTTAAAAGATAATTTATTATTAAAGTTCATTCCCTTTTCCTACTTACCAATTTAAAGAATGGTGGACTAAACAATATGCTTGATTCACCACGTTTATATTTCTTCATAGGTTTTCCCTCTGATGAGGCATTCGTACCATAAAGCTGATCCTTACGGGAATTTAATTGATGATTAAACACATCATAATCCGGAGGAACATTTGATGCCATACCACCGCCCCCACTTCTACTACTTCCTCCTCCATATGTAAAATGTGTGGTAAAATACGGACTAACCATATTGCTGTTGTTGTTTGTGGGATTATAATTTCCACTTTGTGAATTCCCTGCTACGTTTTGTTGTTGCATTTGATCAAATGTCCTTTTCATTGCAGCTGTCATTGTCGTCGTTGTATGTTGCTGAGGATGGCCCGACTGTTGGTGGGAAGACTGGTGTTGACCGGAGGAATGTTGTAATTGATTGTCGTAGTAATTTGGATTCATGGTTTGTATATTCTCGTTATTCAATTCCACTTCATAAACATCATCACAATGTTCGTATTTAATTACTGGCTCATCATCAGCTCCATCTAATTTGTGCATTTTATAATTACTAGGCAGCTACTTGGAAACTTTGTAGCGTCTGCTATGAGCGGGCATCAAAATATATAACTTTACATTCAAGTATTCTAAGACACCATTTTGTTATAAGTATTTTTTTATATTTATTGTTGCAGTTGGTTTATTCCAATTCAATGACCAATACGGTCTAATTCCGGCCAGCATTAGTTGATTCCACCGACCAACTATAAAAACGTTCCACATGCATAGAACCGAGGACGAAATGAAAGAATGAGTTATAAAAAAGGATCTCGAAGCAAAATGAACGAAACCCGTATTTGTTTACAATTGATGTGTTGTTTAGAATGTGGCATGGGGGAATATCAATCAGCTGATGCAATTCATTAAGTATTACCTATATTAAGACGTACATTGTATGACAAGTGGCATACATATAGCTCATTTACATACGTACATTAAATGAGGTGGATTTACGAAATCCTGAAAATAAATTATGGCTTTGAAATCATTTAAAATGATTGTCAGCTTGTTTTTGTTTACATACACACAAACTCACAGTTGTTTACAAAAAGAAACCAGTAAGGAATATATTGTAGTTGTAGTAGATTTGAGGAGGGATTGAATCTCCTTTTAAATTAATTTTATATATTTATATTATAGTACGTTTACATTGTACCGGATTTCGTTCAGACAGTGGGTTTAAATTGTCAATTCCATTGTGAATGAATAAGTAGGTTAACCCGATAAAAAGTTCTAATGTAAATGCTGTTTTAAATTATTGTTTGAACAGTTTAACATCCCTTTTTGAATAATATCAATTCAAATTCTCAGAATGAATTTTATATTGTTATTTTATTTTTACTTTTTTTACTTAATTTACATGTAAAATTTTACTTGATTTATTATACATAGTAAAAGTGCGTTTACATTGTACCGGATTTGGTTAACCCAGTGGGTTTAATTGTCTATTCCTTTGAATATATGCCAAATAAATCCTCATAAAGTAGGTTAACCCGGTAAAAAGTTCTAATGTAAATGCCGTATAATTATTATTTTGAGTAGTATATAGGTACGCCGCACTGTTAAATATTTAATCTCAATCGGACACCCGTTTGAAATACACATGGAAGCTATGGCTGCATCTGCACCAATTTCAGTACGCAAAAGTTTGTGTTAATCGGACAAACATTAGGAGTTTGGTGCACCATTTATGTAAAATCGGACGAATATATATGTATATGTGGGAGCTATATCGAAATCTGAACCGATTTTTAACACACATCGTTCTACCGTGCAAATTGTAGGATATATATGGACAGACAGACGGACGGACATGCACAAATCGACTTAAAAAGTTGTCGCTTCTATTGCCAAATATAATATATAATGTTTTTAAAATAGTTACAAAATATCGATTTGTTTGAAGATGAATTTTGCAACATTTTTAAGACGAAATTTATGATCTGTGAATGAAACAACGAAAAATGTTTATTTTTTATAGAAACATAAATTTTTCAATGACTGAAATTCTATTTTCAAAAAACAAAAAATTCAAAATACGCATTGTCAATGTTGAAAAATTTCAACTTTAAATTTTGATACGCAATGCGTAGAAACGTTGAAATACATGTATTTAACTTTTGCATTCCATTCATTTTTCGCTAATATATAATGTTTTTAAAATAATTACAAAATATATTCCAAAATCGATTTGTTTGAACATGGATTTTGCAACATTTTTAAGAAGAAATTTATGATCTGTGAATGAAACAACATGTAAGTCATATCCCCAACTCGATTTGAAAAGAAAACCTTGCATTCCATTAATTTTTCGCGTTTTTTGGTAAAATGTTAAAAATATGTCAAATGAACAGAACGACTTGTTGCATTTGTTTTCATTTATTCTGACATTATAGCCCATAAGGTAGAGGTGTATTTTTTGCTTTCTGACAATAGCTACCCTACCTTGTAATAAATATACCATGAATTCATCCAAAAATCACAAATTTTTTCCTTACGAAATGGCTTTTAGAATATATTTTATTATATTTTTCAAAACATTACACACACAGTCACACATTTTGGCACAACAAGCCACAATATAAAAATATTTTAATTTATTAATAGCTATGGCCTACCTTGAATAATTGTACCATGCATAAAACAAACATTTCATGTTATCCCCTGTTCATAATTGGTCTATGTTTTACTACGATAACACTTTTTTCCTTTATGATATCGGAAAAAATAGTAAAAACTCGTAGATTCTTGCAGTACAGTTATGTAAAATAAACACAAAGAACTGTTACGTATATTTATTTTATATTTGACATAAAAAGCCACTGTCTGCATAGTTGCTTTTTGTTACTCACCGCAAGTTGACCTACCTTGTTTTATTATTTTCTCGTTTTTTCGTTATCGTTAATAAATTATTGATTCGTTTTTATTTATTTATTTTAAAATAATTTTAAAGTAGTTGGTTAGTTTACTTTTAAAGTAGTTGGCGAATTACAAAAAAGAGCATTGGTTTATTATGTTATTACTGCAAATCTGTCTTTAAATTGTTGTCACATCTTCCCATTACAATGATGGAACGCATTTCAATTTTATTCGTAATAAACATCCCGATATGGCAACATTGTTCAAATTCAATTACGAATGTCATAGCAAAGCAATGCCCAACTGACAATAATCAGAAAAGGAAAATTCGTTTTTGCAACATTCAAGCATCTCTTCCAATATCATCCATCCTCCAATTGGTTTTCTTATTTGATTATTGAACATTATTAAATAATTTTGTTAAAATAATACCAAGCCATAGCTTCAACTGTTGGCAATTAAAAACAAAATAAAAATCTGAATATTGGAAATTAAAGCGGTGAAAACAAATATAAATTACAGCAAAATCATTTGACAGACGGACAGACGTGGTAATAACAAAGAAAGAAGAAAGTGCTGTCTGCTGTTGTTTGTTTGGATATACACAAGTGTTTTTTTCCAATTTGAAGGCGGTGGAGCATTCCATACATACAGTTGAAAGCTAAATATAAACAAATAATTGTGTTGTGTTAAATGATTGCAAAATTAAACATTAATAACTCTCTTTCTCTCGACGGTATAGAGAGTAGATAATTTAACGGTTTGTTAGTAACAAATTTCCCAACAACAGTAACAACAAATTGAAAAGAGTACACATGTAATTAAAAGAAAATCGTGCCGTATTGTGTACTCTGCTGACAAACTTTATTGTTTTGTTTCTCTTTTGGGTGTTTTTGTTACATAAAAACAATAACAACAACAATTATTGTTAATACTGCCGCTCTTGCTACGGTGCTCTGGTGTGTTTTGTCAGTGGTTGCTGGTGTTCGGTTAATGTTTGTTGTTGCCTGCTCCATTTAGGTTTTGCCTAATACTGTTGGGGTTTGTTTTTGTTTGCCGTGCGAGTCTGTGAGTACGGGGGAGCAATCGTAGTGTAACATTGTGTGTGTGTGTGTGTGTGCGTGCGTATATGTTTTCGGAGTATACTCTTTTTTTTTTGGTTGTTGAACAAATAATTTATGTGGATGTCAACGTGACAGTATCCCGCCTTCATTGTCTGCTGACGGTACGTACGGCCGGTGGTTTTCGCTAAAACGTTTGTGTCTCTGACAAGAAGAAAGAAAATTTAAAGAATTAAATAAAAAAGAGAAGAAAGAAGTGAAAAAAAGAATTAATTCTATGTAAATATTCCAAAAAGAAAGTTGTGCTCTCTGATTCCAGGTACCGTCAGATTTGTGTGTGCGATAAAAATAAGAATAAATATTGCAATAATATTTAATTGTGCTAACAATGCAAATTGTTAATTTGCTAAAAATATAAGCAAAAAAGTATAGCAATAACAACAACAAAAAGTGCTACAAAATAAATTGTGTCTGTTCATCTTAATTTTTGCATTGCTGCCGCCGCCTACCCATCTTACCGGTATTTTTTCGGTAATTGCTTGTGTTTTATTTTGTTGCTGCTGCTGCGCTGCAACTGCCTTTGTTTGCCGTCACCGTTGTTGTTGTTATTATTTGGCGTAGACATTCGTTCGTCTGTGCTAAACTGTGTGGTTTGTTTGTATCTGCGCATGGTGCGTTTTGTCTCGACTGCCACTGTCATTGCCTTCATCATCAACAACAAACAGCTGAGAAAATCATAAAGAAGAAACACCTTCGATTTATTGACATTTCACGACGTTTTACGCCTGCGTTTGCAAAAAATTAAGCAACAACAATAATAAAAACACAAAATAATTAAACCAAAAAAGGGTACATTCAATAAATACCCCCTAGGCTTTTATAATGTATCGCATTGGACCCATAGGACGTAAATCCAATTTCCACAATCGTGAGAAATGTCTCATCGGCTTGGTATTGGCCACTTTGTGTTTTCTTTGTTTCGGTGGCATATTTCTGCTGCCCGACAATTTTGGTGGTGATCGCGTGCTGCGTGTCTACAAACAATTTCAAAAAGCCGGTCCTGAAATTTTCATACCGGCACCACCCTTGGCTAAACATGCCCCCAAAGACCAAGACCCACATTTTATGAATGACCGCCAAAAGCTACAGGCCAAAATCAAAGAGGAACTGGGCGAAATAATGGACAAGCCGCAATTACAAAAAGACAATGCAATGGATAATAGTGAAGATGCGGGTGATGATGGTTCACCCCAGCAATTTGATGATACAGCACCAGGTGCGGGAGGTGGTGGTGACGAACAGGGTGCTGCCCCTCCTGTCAATGGCCAGTCAAAGAAAAGTCGTAACAGTAACAATAACAACAATGACGACATTGCTGCCGTTTTAGACAATAACAACCTACCTTTGGGAAATGTTAATTTACAAATGCCATTGGGAGGTCATGCCGATAGCGATGCCAGTGTGGAGGAGAAACGTCAAAAAGTTAAAGAGGTAAGTAAAGGAAAAAATACGCGAAAACAGATGATGACTTATATAGTTCTGTTGTAGTTTTTTTTTTCAAAGGCAAACCTTGTAGAAGGTGTGTTTGTGTGGAAAATTTCTGTATAAAACTTGGTAAAGGGCGTTAGATGCTATTGCATATAATGTTGCTGTTTTTCAAATGAAAACGATTCGCTTATGCGAAATCCATGGGAATATATTTGTAACTCTATGATTTTCTATTCCAACAAATTGGATGGTTTTATAATAATTTTTACCTATCAATGAAATAGAATCTATAATCAGACCATCAGTCCGCCCATCCGATCGATATTTTCATACGTATATTTTTATAACCTAATAATTTTCCTATAGCAACAAATAACAGTTAATTAATTTTTATACCTTTTGAAAAACTAACAAGTGATGAGCTAACACATATACGGGTATATTAAAACATTGCGTGACTGAGGATAATATTCGGAGGAAAAAAGGGGTAGCAAATTATTATCGTTGGAAATATTGAAACGTTAATAGCAATTTAGAAAGAAAATAAAGTTTAATTATTAAATTTTTGCAGTCAACGGAAATTTTGTAGTGGATTTAAAAGAAACAAAATAAAGTTATATTGATTTTCACATAGAAACAAAATCCTAGAAATCGAACAACAAAAATTAAAAGAAGTCATATAGGGACAACCCCTACAAGGGACCGATATTTGGCTGCTACCATATACGACTACGAAATATCAAATTACAGAGAATTCAAATTACGAGCTCAATATTCCCAAATACCGAAAATTGCGGGTACACTTATATGGGGGCTACCCGAGAAAATTGACATATATTTATAATTTCTAGTGGAGGGACTTGCTAACTGGATCAAAAAAAAAAAAAAAAAAAAAAACTCGTGTGGATTGTTGGAAAGCATTTTTGAAAAACTGCAATCTCTGTGCTTCAAAACATATTTATATGACGAATCCGATCCTCGGTTCCTATACGTATGTTTTGAAGCACAGAGATGTTTGTTTTTCAAAAAGTCTTTTCAACTTAAGCCATCTGGTAATGCAATATTCAATGTATGGCGTTGAAAGAAATGGCCAACGTTCCGGATAGTTTTCATCTCTTTGTGAATACACAAAGTACAAACTTACAGACATACATATTGAAAAATTTGGCTTGGGCTTTCATCACATCGAAATGGTGGCGAACCTTTATATGGCGATTATTTGAAATGTCTATTTCTTGCGGACATCTTTTTATCCCTTAAATAACTCACATGACAAATTACAGACTCTTCGATTGAAAAATCTAAATACATAAAGTGTGGTACTGAACCTTTACGTAGATAAGATGAGGTTAGGTTAGGGATGTACGGTTGTTAATTACAACCTTTTATTCAGAGACAATTGCCCATTGTGATCATCCTTGATACCTCGAAAGAAAGAGGAAGAAATAGTAGGCGAGCCTAGAAGATGGTTATTTCAGCCATGCCAGATTTTTGACAAAACCTAGGATAGGATTGAGGTTTATTTTGGATATTCATATCTTTCAGACTGTTTGTGTCTTCTGCCATTCAGCAATAGACATATACAGAGGATATCTTCAATTGTTTCTAGCTACTCTTCGTCCTCACATAGACGACAGTAATGCTCTCCGTTGGAGTCCCATTTCGATGTGAGGGATCTAATCTTGCAGTAACCTGTTATCCACACAATGATTTTGATCTCTATCTTATTATGTGACTACAGGAAAAAATGTTTTCCGCCAGAGAATTCAGCCCAGATAGCTTTCGAGATTCTGCAAAGAGGTTCTCTTGACCATCTGTTGGGCCAATGGGTGGTTGCATAGATCTTTCAATCGGAAGATTGGACGACTGTGAACCGCCTCGAGCAAGCTCGTCGGCTATCTCATTCCTTTCTATGTTGCCAACATAAATTAACTATCCGTCGTATATCATGCAGAGCAGCCTTGCAATCATGAACTGCTTTTGAGTTCATAGTGCACGACTTAAAAGCCTAGAGGGCCGTCTGACTATCGATATATATATAAACGCCTGCACCAGTGACTTCCTCCATATGTGACCTCTCTGTGAAAAATGACAGACCTGGCAGAGGTAAGGATCCACTAGTCCAGGATTCCCTACTAGGAAAATCTACTCTGTTGTCGTTAAAATTTCTATGATAGGGAAAATAATCACTAATGTAAGTAATTCTACTTTTTGAGGATACTAGCGTGACCATAGTTTAGGGTCTTCCAGGCATCCGTTTCTCGGAGCACATCTTGTAGCATGGTATTTAATCAGAGTGTCCCGTGATTGGAGATTCAAGATCGCATTCAAGGCTTCCTGTGATGTGCTTCTTATCGATCCGGTTGTCGGAATCGAAGCCAATCGCTGTATTGAGTTCATTTTAGTGAGCGGCATCTTTTTGTTGACCCCCTGCCGAACCTTTACTTAGGGCTTATGCTAAAATGTGAAGCGCCATTGAAAATTATCTTCGAAAATCTCGAAACCAAAAAAAAAAAAATAATTAAAAAACGGGGCTTTTAAATGGAAGCTATGCAAAAACATGGATATACATTGCACATTTTCTGCAAATAAGTTACCCATCCAGAATTCCGGAAGCAAAATTTCATTAAGAACATTACATTAAGGTTAGGGAACTGCTTTAATGGGCCTTTGTAAAAACATGAACATTTTCTTCATTGTCAATTCCAATCCCGGTTAGTGGTTTTAATAATTAAATATTCGGGTATAGGCGTTTTTAATAATATACCAATTCAAATATTCAGCTATGGATTTATTGTAATCCTTGGAATCAAAAACAATAGACTCATTGAACGGATGATTTAGGCCACTTTTTTCTGAAGCAGGTCAAATATTAAAAAATATTCCAAAAAATGTTCTACCTAAAATGTTACTCTCAGAACATACAAATCTTAAATATTAAAATCAACATCAAAGCTGGGAAATCTTTCAAAAGTACCGATACATGTGTTTTCTACTTGTAGGCCCTCCATCATTTCATAATCAATTGTGTTTTGTTCGCCGGTATTTTTGTTTTGGGGTGTTCCACAGTGTTATCTACATTTGTTTTGTCAATGAAGGTACATAAAAAATGCATTTCATCAAAAAAACATCTGATTGACAACAAGTTCCTAATGTAATTTCCCAATTAGAATTCTCCTCCCTGGAAACTAAAATAAAACAAACACACAATCACAAATTTGAAATTATTAGCATTTCATGAACGTTGATGTTGTTGTTTAATAATCATGTTTCTTTTTTGTTTCATTCAACGTCATCACAATAGTTAACGTCACCAGCGTGTGTGTGTATGTTTCTTTCTATATAGAATTCCAAATCACAGCTTATAAAAATTTGAGTGACTGGCGTTAACGTCTAATGATGTGATTTTTTGTTTGTTTTTTAGTTATATTCTTCATTCTCACATTTCAGTTGGCAAAACTGGGTCAATCTGTTTCTGAATACCGCAGAATTATCACAACAACAAACAAATGTTAAATAGCTTTAACATCTCAACGAAATCTAACGAATAAAATCTCAATATGTATATTCGCTTCGCACGCTGTTATAATTAAAAAAATGTTTAAATATTTTTGAAACCACAAACCTCATTTGTTTAGTGGTGCAATTTAAATTTGATTTTTTGTTTGCTTTTGATGAATATGTTTATAAACTTGATAAGGTGTTAGATGGTGTCGTCGTTTTGAGGTTAGAATACAGGCGTTTTTTTTTTTGTTAGTTGACATTTGGTGTAGCTGTTGAACTTGTTACTTATAAGCCGGCGGTTTAACTTTTTTACAATTTTAGTGCGTTCAAAACGAGATGTAGTTGTCGTATTGAACGCACTAAAATTTTTAGAAATTTAGCCATGCCCATCTGTTTGTGTCTGTTGAAATCACGATAAAAATAACAATATTTAAAATCGATTAAAAAAACGTTGCACGTAAATTAATATTACATATTGGATAGCAAATGCAATATATCGGACCATGGTGGCTTTGAGACGTCAACGTCCACCACTAAAAATTATAGCCTTAAAAGTCAAACATTGCTATCAGTCATGTTGGAATTGTATCTGAATTCCAACCAGACAGATAGCAATGATAATTATCAGGTTATGCCTAGGGGTGCAGAATGTCAAAAAAACCAGCCAGTTGAATAAGTTCTGAGATAGAGAGCTCTAAAAAAAGGGCCAAATGTGCTCCATTTTCTTTATTTATTTATTGTAAACAATTATGGCTTATGAGGGTATATGTATTTTCATACGGTAAAAATGTGCCTCATCGAGTTATTGGTTTTAGACCACATGTTTCGTTTCAGACAATTTGGAGTCGATTTACAAATGTCCGTCCGCCTGTCTGTCTGGCCGGCTGTTGTACATGATAACTCTCGAAGGGATTCACTGATTTCATTCAAACTTTGAACATCGTAATATTTCTAACAGACTTAGTTCAAGTTCGAAGATGGGGAATATCGGTCCACTCCTTCTGGTACCTCCCCCACAAAATGGTCAAAATTGTGCTAAAAATGAATTTTATACCATGCGAGCGGACTATCCCATTTTAACCAAACTTTGTACAACCTATTATATTTACCAAGCCTAGATCAAGTTCAAAGACGGGACCAATCGGTCCACATCTTCTGCTACATCCTCCACAAATTGTCCAAAATTTTCAATCCAATATCACACGAGTGAAATGTCACAAGCTATTATCATTACTAAGCCTCCTCCTCCAAAACTGGTAAAAAATTTAAATATTTATTTATCTAATATCAGGCGAATGGAATGTCCGATTGGAACCAAACTAATATCTTTACCCAAGATGAGATCCCTTGGTCCACTTATTCTGGTGTCTCCCCCACAAATGGTCAAAATGTTCAATATTAATACATCTTATATTTGGCGTTTGTATTATCTTTACAAAGCCTATATCAAGTCCTCCTAGAGAATCAGATTTGAAGCATGATATGCACATCGTAATATTTTCACCACTTCATTTATAGAGCAACTTATAATCTTAACCCCTTGTCACAAATTTAAA